CCGGCGTGACGCAGCTGACACAGAACAGCATACGTTGTTTACGTCTAGCTGATACTCTCCAAAATGGGGTACAGGGTGATGCGGAGGAGATGAATTGTTGAATAAAGTTGTTGTTTTTTTTTCTTTTGTGCACAAAAAGTATTCTCGTAGCTTCGTAATATTATGGTTGAACCCCTGATGTCACATGGATTATTTTACAGATCTCCTTGCTACGTTTCTGGACTTGGGAACATTTCAGTTGTATTGCTGTCTATGCAGGGTCAAACAGCTCTCAGATTCCATCAAAAATATCTTAATATGTGTTCCGAAGATGAACGAAGGTCTTACGGGTTTGAAACGACATGAGGGTAAGTAATTAATGACAGAATTTTCATTTTTGGGTGAACTAACCCTTTAATAGTATGTGACCTTTACCTGATAAAAGAACAACATTTACAGCATTTGCATGTATTAATTTATTAAAAAATTTCTATGTAAATACACCCATTGGTCATTGTGGCTGCGTACAACTGCTAATTCACTATATTTGAAATTTCCTCAGTATCTCAGACATACCCAGAATGCATCTGTCTGCGCAGGCATGTAATGCCCCACTGACGGTGAACCATGAATACAGTGTCAGCTTGAAAAAGCTGCATTTCTATTATCAAGTTGATGCGATAGTAAGCACCTTGAAGGGAAGGGCTGATATGTGACTGCCCCGCTATCTGGCTAGATCCTAGCATGTGCAGGACACAGCAGAAATCTCTGAGTGTGAAATCAGTCACCTATCTCCAAAATACAAACTCTCCGTCTTCGCCTGCCTCTTTATTCACAGGGGCCTTCTGTCAATGGAGCCCACAAAAGGTTCTGCTTAACGGCTCGCACGAGTCCATCTGAAGTATTTATTACCTCAATGCTCAAGGTATTTTTCCCGCAGTATATACCTTTCTGCCGCAGCAGTCTGGTCTGATTAAATCAATATCTGTTTCTTCACAGACATTAAAAACCAGACAGGTGAGAGACTGCTGATCCTGCTCTGCCTTATCAACACAAACGCCCCTGAGAAAGAAAGGAGAAACCATCATTTTTTACAACACTCACGCCGATGCTCATGCCCGGTTTTTCTTTTTATCCTCAAATCCACAGATTTGTTCTCTCGCAAAGATGCCTGTGAAAATACACCTCCTGGCCATCGCTGATGACAGAACGTCGAAGGTGCGTTTAAAGAGACAGGGGTGCATTAGATCCATAAGCGTGGCCCGTTGAAATGCCCCCTCCACCTTTGAGGATGTGGGCAGGCCGCTGAGCGTGCACCGCAATTACGTATTGCTAATTGAAAATGTTAATCTTGTCACATTCAGGGGCAGACAGGGTTAAATTGGTAAAACTGCAATTCACTTAAGGCCATATCTCTCGTCGAAATGAACTGGATGATTAATCCTTTATATTCTTCAGGGATTCAGGGAATATCAGCAATTAAATTAACTACTACAAAGTGTATGCTCCAAGACGGGGAAAAAAATCATGAAAGACATACATTCATTTTTCCAAGTTGTTGCCTTAATTGTCTCTTTACTACCCGTGTTGCTCCCTGTCGTTACAGAAGCACCCCCATTACAAAACAAACCCACGAGATACATTAGCATTGAGCCATGTTGAAATATAAAATGATTGTTGCTGTGGTTAAAATGTATTTGTCAAATTAAAATCTTTCCATCTATTTATCACTTATCGATCATTTACTCACCTTTTATATCATACCAAATCTATATGACTGGGTAACATTTTACAATAACATTAGTTAACACAAACTAACAACAACAACAACAACAAAACTTCTAAAGCATGTACTAATCTTAGTTCATGTTAATTTAATAATCACAGTTTCTAAAAACAATCACAGTTATATCTTTTAATGATACTTAAAGGGTTAGTTCACCCAAAAATGAAAATTAGCCCACAACTTACTCACCCTCAAGTCATCCTAGGTGTATATGACTTTCTTCTTTCATACGAATCCAGTTGGGAGTTATATTAAAAATTGTCTTTGATCTTTCAAGCTGTTTAATGCCACTCAGCGGGTGTTGCATGCATCATGCGGCGCATGCGCAAAGCCGACCTCATACGTCATCTGCCCGGAGCTGCTTCCGTGTACAACTGTTGGCGCAAGCTACATTAAAGTGATTATTACGTTTTAAATATGGATATTTTTCTTACAAAAACGCATCGATTCGCTACAGGAGGCCTTTGTTCACCCCCCGGAGCTGTGTGAGACTTTTTTTTATGGATGGGCGCTTTTTATTTAACTTCTTTTGGACTGAAGCACTGCAACACCTGCTGATCGCAATGATAGAGCTTGGAATAGCCAGGATAATTTTTTATATAACTCTGACTGGATTCGTCTGAAAGAAGAAAGTCATGGATGCCTCGAGGGTGAGTAAAACACAAACTAATTTTCATTTTTGGGTGAACTAACCCTTTAA